AAGTGTTTTGTTTTTTGGGCAAATAATATTAAAGTGTTTAAAACTTTATCTCTAATGGTTAATCCATCCATTTCTCGATATACAAATGTTAATATTTAAAACCATACAAGATAACGAAGTGAATTATTAAAGTCTATGTATTACATTAAAATTATTTTTTATTTTTACTCTTTATTTAATATCATAGTATTTTAAATTTCAACTTCCTAAAAACTAGTAATTTTTTATATAACTACCTGAATAAGTTAAATTTAAGTATTGTTGAACCCTCCAAAAGATGTTTTTTACATTCATACAAATCCAAACCCAATATCTTATAATTAAGTGGTTATAGTTTATTTTAATAGGATCAACCTTTGTTAGTACTATAAAATGATATTAATAATACCTAGAACGGGTATCTTTGAATCTTCCGTTTAAAATTATCAAGCGTTTTTTTTTTAAGAGATACCGTATTTAAAATATAAAACACTTGATATTTTTTAAAACTAAATAATGAGATTTATAAAAATGTCTTTAATAAATATTTAAAGTTAATGAAATTTTATATTTATTTGGGATTAAGTTACCTTATTAAATAAGAATAGACATGAAAAAAGTATGCAATGTTAAGTAATATTAAATATTTTTAAAAATAAAAATTAATTAAAATATCTTAAAATTTTATAGGAAAGAAGTATCTAAAATTTTGTATTAGTACTTGAACTTATATTCTGGGAGGGGTAGTATTTACTCTCTCCATTTACAAATATATAAAAATTTTTTATGTGTTAAATATTCAAAAATATAATATATTTTTAGTATTATAAGGTATAATTATTACATTTTTTAAAAATATTTATAATAAATAATCACTTTATATTTATTTTAGGATGACATACCATATTACACAGGGATCTATATGAAAAGATATTATTATTTTAAAAATAAATAATTATTTTATTAAGAGTAAAATTTAATTAAAAATATTATATTTTTAAATGAAAGGAGTATGTTATTTAAAAAGAAAACCAAGAAAAAAAAGGTGGAGACCGGAGTACAAGATGCTTGGCTCACCGATTAAGGATCGAATTAATTTCTGAAGTTCCCACTCACTTGGAGTTCGATCTATACACCTCCACCTCCGTTCATTTATCTATACCTTTATACCTTCCTTGTCTCTTCACCTTTATTCTACCATTTATATGATGTCAGATACGATACATAAATTAGATACGATATATTGATATTTTTATTTTTTTAAAAAAAATATGGGATACGGTACATATTTGATATGTGCATCTATATTTACAAAAAAAAAATAAATAAAGATATTTAAACTAATATACTTATATAGTCCTTTTTAGTTATACCAAATAAAACATAATCTCTAATTGTACTTTTATCTGATTTATACCCAATTATTTACTGTCTAATCTCTGCTTAGAGTTTATATATACGTCAAAAGATTACATTCCTATGTCTTATAACTAAGAAAATATAATTTTTATCTTTTTATTATATCTAAAAATTATTTTCAAGATTAAGAGTAAAAAGATTAATATTACAATATTTCAGAAAATTTAATGCGTATTAAAAATTAATTTTTTTAAATTATAAAATAATGTTTCGATATTTTAAATATGTGAGGCAATATGAAGTAACAATGTTTTGTAACTGTTTGTTTGTGTCTTTTTTTTTTTTTTTTTTGCTTTCACTTGCTTAGGCGCGGTTCTTATTAATACTAGAGTTCGATCTATAAGTTATTATATAAAAATAAAAGTAATTTTAATTATAAAGCATCGCGAAAAGATTAAATAATATTTTAATCTTATCCCTTTATTTTCAAATGGATTTTTTTAAAATAATAAAATGACTCTCATTATTTTCATTTAAGTAATAAGAATATAAAGACTTACATATTTTAAAATAAATAAAATAAATTTACAAATTTTCTTCATGTAAACAACATTACAAATATCTTTATAATCAACCGCAAAGAAGTACTATTAGGTCTTATTTGGTACGAAGTATTGAAGGGTTGAAACTGGGATTGGGGACTATGATTAGGATTGGGTAATACCAAATTTTCATGTTTGGTATGAAGGAATGAAAAAATTAAGAAAGAATAACAGACAAATCTCAAAAGAATGAATTAATTCAACTTAAATTTCAACTCACAAACTTCAAAAATTTTCAAATTTTTTTTTAATTTTATAATTTTATTGTGATGAATTTGTAACTTATTTTTTAAATTTTAACATGGTTGAAGAATAAATAAATTTATTTTCTTTGTTAAAATTTAGAATACAAGTTTACAATTTATAGTAATAAAATCATAAAATTAAAGCTAAACTTGCAAATTTATTTAAGACTTAGGATTTAAGTTGAAGGAGACCTCTTTGTCATTCTCTCAAAGATTAATTCCAATCCCATCTACATAAAATTACTCAATACCACTTTTTTCAGTTATTAGGAAATCAGTCTTGGATTGAATATTTTCAGACCAAATTACCCTCCGCCCATAGCTCTTCTCCCTCTATTGCCACTCATCTCTCCCTCTATCATTATTTTCATCTCCTTCCTCCGATGCCGGCAACAACTTCGACAGAAGCAATAGCAAATAAGAAACAAGCAAGATGATGGTTAAGACCTACCATGACAATGGACCTTCGACCGTACTAGCAAAGTTGAAGAAGAAGCAGAATCAAATGTTGGCAAAATCAAAATCTTATGTGGGTGAGGTCGATTCCCTTTTCTTGTTCCAAATCTGGTGACGATGGAATCAAGTGTTGGGGAAGTTGGAGATGGTGAAGGTTGAGCAACTAGTGCTTTGTTGTTTCCTTATTCCAAATATGGTGAGATCGATTCCGTTTTCACACGTCTTCATCATTCACATGCATGTCTTCATCGTTTTCTTTATCTGTATGGTTCAGTGGTTTTCAATAGCTTTGTCTCCTCCGATTTCACTTTGATTTTTAGATGAGGTCGAGGACTACAAGATTGGAAAAAGACGAGGATAATTGTGTTTTTACTTAATTTTTGTTTGATTTGAGTGTTGGATTTTTTGAATCCAAATTATGATTTTAACGCTTATTTACACTCTCAATCTCATGCCCTATCCAATTTCCAATTCTTTAATTCATCTTGGATGCTCATCACTCCTCATGAGCACTGGATCATTCAAATTTAATTTACGTGGTCTAAATTTAAAGTTTGTTATTTTTTATTTTTTATTTATTAAAATAAAAATTTATAAAAATATGTTTACCATTGATCTGGATAATATAAATTTAATTTAGATAGTCAAATTTAATATAAAATTTTTTTATAACTTTTATAAATTAACTATTCAAGTATATTCTAGATTAAATTTTTTTGATAAATACAATATTAAAAAATATTATATTTAAAAAAAACTTAAGATTGTTAACTAATTTGAACTTGAAGGTGAAAAAAAAAAAACCTTCTCACCTTAATCCATATGTTATGATTAGGGTAAGTATTACAAATTACAAATGACATCAATTTATATCATAGATATTTCCATATCTTATATACATAAAATTTCATGTAATGTATTTCGCCCAAAAAAAAAATCATGTAATATGGCTCATTCTTCATATTTTGTGCAATAGATAAACCTGCGCTAATTTGTACTCATGTGGAAGGCAAATGATACATCATTTTTGATTAGATATGCTTTACATTTATGAGTTAAGAATTAAACCCTCATAAACACTTGCTTGGAAAACCGAAAATATCCAGCCAACAAAGCCATCCTGAATTGATTATAATTACAATTACAAAGTATTTAATAATATTAATTTACAGTATACAATGATTATAAATTATAAATACAAACAAAATCATACTATTTTTTCACCCAAAAAATCATACCATTTGACATTTATAGTTCTTGAATAGTCCGATCCTCTGTATTTCTATATTTTTATCTATGGAAACGCATAATTTCGCTCCAAGGAGAAAAAATAAATCAATTTTTCATTTGAAATTGGAATTCCCGTTTGATTTTTCTTCATCTTAATTCAGAACAAAACTTTTACTTTTATTTTTTAAAAAATAGGAGATTTTAATTTTATAAAATCTAGAAAGACATTCCTAGTGATTTAATTAGCTAATGGTGTATTTGGGTTAATGAGAATTTGTATTTAGACTAAATTTTTCATTTGGATATATAAAAATTTTTAAATTTGGATTTCATTTAAATTTCAATTTATCGCTTTTATTTGTTTAAAATTTTTAAACTACTATTTTTAAATATATAGATTTTAAATCTAAAATTTTAAATCTAAATCTATCAATTTAAATGCTATTTAAATCTATTTCCAATTATTACCTAATTTTTTTAAAATTATGGAGTCTGCTCATCACTAGCTCCTAGGCCAATCTTGATTTTTCATTTTATTCTAAAATGTTCTTTGTTGTTCCTTAAATTAATTGTGAAGGTATTTTTTAACATTGTATTTATTAATGTAAAAATTATAAAAAAATTAATACTAAATCTTGATTGTCTTTCATGTTGATAAGAGGATGAGCATCATGATATTTATCATTATTCATAAGATCTAGATCATTTAAATTTTAAAAAAATTATTTTATTTTATATTTATCAAAATAAAAATTCATCACTATTCTAATTAGTACATATTTAATTTAGACAGCCCAATTAAAAATTAATTTTTCAAATAGTTTTTATAAATTTTCTGATGTTTTTTAAATAGAATTGGATTGCCCTTTTTAATATTAAAATTTTTTGTAATTTTAAAAATTGATCATTTAGATTTTTAGATAATTCAAAATTTAGTATTATTTTTTTTTGGTAAACTTATATTAATAAATATGATATTAAAAAAAGACTTAAAGATTAATTTAAATCATCGGAATAAATTATTTTAGAATAAAATGAAAGTTCAAGGTTAATTCAAAAAGATGTTTGAGCTGCAGTACATTTACCCTGTAAAACCAGCGCTTCATTGCGCTCCTGGCGCTATAAATAGGCCCCTTCAGCCTCCTCCCCCATCCACAAAAGCAATCCTTTCGTTTCTGCGTCTCTACAGAATCTCAGTCTACCACTTTTACTTCGCTTCTCCCCAGTAGTTTCTTCCTTCTTCCTCCGCCGCCGTGTACAGATTAATTGAGGTGAAGCGTGTTCCTAGTGCTGTCTTGTTTTTCTGTTTTCTCTTCTGATTCATGGCCATCGTCTCAGTTCGTTTTCCGTTTTCTTTCGGAGTTCACATAGATAGCCATTTCTTGTTTCGCAGAAGCGTGAATGTTGTGATGGAGATCAAAGGAGGGAAAAAGAAGTCTAGCATTAGTAGTTCCTTACAATACGAAGCTCCTCTTGGCTACAGCATCGAAGACGTTCGACCCAACGGTGGCATTGAGAAGTTCCGCTCTGCTGCTTACTCCAACGTAAGTTCACTTCTCCGATACCTGCCATGGTCTTCTTCATCACTGCTTTCCAGTTCTCGTTTCATTTTTATCTTCAATGCTTGCAGTGCCTGAGGAAGCCATCCTGATACAATTCCAGATAATTAATGCCGCTGTATCAGTAGACTAGAACTTCCGCTTTCAGTTTTCTTTTTTCTTGTCATGTTCTTTTCTTCAAGGAATTCGGAGGATTTGATTCTTCCTGACTAAGCCGTTTGCAGAGCAATCAGGACAAGCCAACACAATCCAGGTCTCCATAAACTGTCGCTATGGCTGTCTTGCCTGCGATTCCAAATGAACCAGATGCATCTCCTCCATCTCCGATCGGATTTGAGGGTTTTGAGAAACGTCTAGAGGTTACATTCTGCGAGCAACCGATGTTCAAGGACCCTCAGGGACAAGGCCTTCGAGCCCTGACTCGCTGTCAGCTCGATTCCATTCTCGAGCCAGCCTGCTGCACCATCGTGTCCCAGCTTTCCAACGCCGAACTCGACTCGTACGTGCTCTCCGAATCGAGCCTGTTCGTGTATCCTCTGAAGATCATTCTCAAAACTTGTGGCACCACGAAGCTTCTTTTGTCCATCAAGCCTATCCTGAAGCTCGCGGAATCGCTCTCACTCTCTGTCTCCACTGTCAAGTTCTCCCGCGGGAGCTTCATCTTCCCAACCTACCAGCCTTCCCCTCACCGCAGCTTCTGCGAGGAAATCGCCTTTCTGAATGACCACTTTGGCGACCTTAACGCCAAGGCCTATGCCATCGGCGATCCTACTGTTCCGAATCGTAATTGGCACATTTACTCGGCTTGCAAAGAGACAGCCAATTCACCACTGCTCGGAAATCAGACTGCGACGGCGGAGATCATCTTAGAGGTGTGCATGACTGGATTGGACCGCGAAAAGGCGTCCGTTTTCTTCAAGAAACAAGGAGGAGATGGTTCCGTCGGTGAAATGACCAAAAGGTCCGGAATTTCGGGCATTATTCCGGGTCACGTGATCTGCGACCACGAGTTTGATCCGTGCGGTTACTCGATGAACGGGATCGAGGGTGCAGCGTATTCAACAGTACACGTGACCCCAGAGGACGGATACAGTTACGCCAGTTACGAAGCCATGGGTTTGAACCCCGAGTCAATAGGTTTGGGTCCGCTGGTGAATAAGGTCGTGAAGTGCTTCGGACCAAAGGAGCTGAGCGTGGCGGTCACGTGCAAGACAGGCGAGGAGGAGGAGTGGGCCAGGCGGGATGCTGACGTGGAGGGGTACGCGTGCGGGAACGTGGTGAAGCAGGAGGTGCCAGGTGAAGGGTGCGTAGTGTACCGGATTTACAGAGCCAAGGGAGGCGAGTGCGCAGTGCGCGCACACAAGAAAGCAAGAAAGAAGAAAAAGTCGTGCAAGAAAATGTTGTCGGAGGAGGCAGTGGTGCCTACTTGCGTCTATTCAGCTTAGCGGCGAATCTCTCGATCTCTTTTTCGTTTTACTATCGGGTGGTGTCGTTTTCTGGTGATTTAGTGAAATCCTTGTCTTCTGGTGTTTTTTTTTTAAATAATGTATTAATGTCGTCTTTGATCAAGAGTCGTTAAGTGCTTATTATGTCATGTACGGCATAAAACAAGGCTTAATCATGATTCAATCTAATATAAGGCCCTCTGTTCTGTGTATATGGTGTGTGCGTACTCCATTTTTAGGGGCAATTCTATCTTTATATTTTCGAAATGGATCCGTCCAAGGTTGTAAACAATAAAAGTAAGTGAGAAAAATGAATCGTGCCATTAACATTAGTGTGAAGAAATAGGCGAAATGTGCCTATCTATATATATTACTTGCACTGCAAGTACAACGCCACTTGAAGGTCAGGAGTAAATTAATGTTAAATAATAGACACAGTGAGAAACAGAAGGAAGCAAAGACGACAACGGGTTTTGGTTTTTCTTTTTAAAAAAATCATTTTGGGTTCCGGGAAAGCTGCCTGCTTCCCGGCCTCATTTTCTGCCCAATGATTGTTCTAATTCAGTCATTGATCTCACTTCCTCATTGGCCACTTCCTCCCATAAAAAATACGCCCACGTAAGGTTCGAAGAGAAAACTCTAAACATGATGCTTCGAGGGAGGCCACTACGAAGAAAAACTCTCATTGGGATCTTGAATTCTTTGACTATTTAGACCGAGAAGACCAAACTTGAAGAAGAAGAAGAAGAAGAAGAAATCACGAAGACGACAAAGCAGAAGGCAGAAGAGATTGCGAAATCGCCGTCAAAGGTGAACCCAAGAAATCACTGGAGGTAGCTGGAAGTCGTTGGTTACAGATTCTGGTTCCGTAATCGTTGGAGCTAAGAAATCCTTATCCATGATAAATTGACCCAAAACAATCTGAGCTCAAACTCAAACAAAGATTTGGAAATTATTAGATGACCAAGTGGGATCCAAAGAAAAACTTTTATAATTAATAGTTTGACAAACCAAAAGATATTTTAAAGTAGAAGAAGCATAGAAATACTTAAACCAAGCTACAGCAGAAGACAGGACAAGAAAATAACACAGCCTCAATTGGCTGACATGTCGTAGCTTATGTGTCATATGCTGCGATTAAGTTTGGAGGGGGAAAGATTGTTCTGAATTGAAGTGAATGAAATTAACTTACCCAAACCCTTGCACTTGTTCTGACGTTGTTAGATCAAACTATGATCTTGGCTCAATTTAGAGCTTTCCAATAATTCAAAATATTAATTAACAACTCAGAAATATAATTAATTAAATTAATTTTTTTATTAATTTCTTTTTTAAATACTGATTAAGTTTAGATTAAGAAATCAACTTGGTACGAGAGGGATATCGTCTTCCTCTGGGAGAATGATCAAGTTTAAATTGTAGAGGCAAGGGTAGATTTGGGATTGGAGATTTGCTTGGTAGTCTCAAGGGTGGCGATGAGAGGATTGGTGGGTAATTATAGCTAGAAATGAGTGAAAAATTACCATAAAGTTGACAAGAGATAGAACAGGAAAAACGGGCTGATTCCATCAAGCTAGTCTGTTTAAACCCGTATAACAATAGAGTTGTGCTTATAAATTAGATATTAAAATAATAAATCAAACTTAAACAGGTTGGCTCATTTAATTTTGGGCTTAAATGGACTATCCTATTTAAGGCCACGTATACTTTTTTTTTTATAACTTTAACTCTTTTTATACTTGAAAAAAATTAAACTAAATTTTACTCCACATCACATATGAATCCATATTTGTTGAAGAAAGGCAAAAAAAAAAAGCCCTAAATTCCCTAGTTCATTTAGATCTCTTAATCTCATATGTTAGTCCATTAATCTTATTTGATTTAGATTGGTTATATGTTGGCTTAGTTGATTTATTGCTTGGTACCTTGTTGTCATTTTATTTGTATTTTTAATTCATTTAAATGTTGTTTAGGTAGTTTTTTTTATTGGATATTATATTGAAATGAAATAATTTTTTATTTGATAAAAAAAATTGAAAAAAAATAAAAATAGTTAAAAGGGCTTAAAGCCCACAAGGCCGACCCTAAGCCCACTATGTCGAAAGCCGAACTTTAAATTTTAAAATCATAAAAAAAACTCAAGCTTAAATAGATTGACCCTTTTAAGCCCAAGCCCATTAAGGGCCGACCTTACAGGGTCGAGTCAACCCATTTCCTCAGCTCTAACAAGAGATGAGAAAGGAAGGGGTTAAAAATGACAAATGAAACATGGTGTCTAAAAAATTGATGTTTAATTATAGAAGCTAATTCCACTAACTTTGGTGGAATTGAATTTTTTAATTTCATCATACCAAACAAACATTTGTTTTATTTTATCAATTCCATTTTTATATCCACATCCATGCCTCTAGTTCCATTTCCAATTCAATTTCCATTTCTATATCTACACACACATACTCTCAAAACTCATATACTTGTAGTTCTTGATTCCACTCGAATCAAGACATATATTTTGGGTTAAAGGAAATTTAATTTTTAAATTATAGGCCCAAAAATGTTTAAAACCCTAAATTTTATTTTTAATGTAATGTTACCCCTACTTTAATAAAAGTTAATTTTAACCCTTAGTTCATGAAAAAATGATAAAAAATTTAAAAATTATAAAAAATGATCTAAAAATTATAAATAATGATAAAAAAAATTATACAAATGAACCAAGAGAATTTTCTTGGTTCTTTTTTTAAATAATTTTTTAAGTTTTTTAAATTTTCTAGTCAACTGACATTTCTTGATCTATTTTTTTTTATAATTTTTTAGGTTATTTCTTATTATTTTCTAACCGACTAATAATCAAAGCTAATTTTTATTAATGGCAAAAATGACATCATATCATTTTTAAAAGTTAAAATAAAATATTGTATCAAAAATGAATTTGAAGTCTCAAATACTTTTAGATCTATAGTTTAGGGGCTAAATTATCATTTAAATCTATATTTTTTTATATTATTTATCATGTAACAATTCTTTTTATTAATATTCTTAATGCTTCAAAATTCAATTGTTTTAATGTAATTAAACAAAATTATATTAAGTATATAAGACTAAATATTTTAATTTTCTCAATTTCATAACAAAAAATTACTTAACTTTTAAGTTCTTTCAAGGCCAACTAGTAAACCTCTTTATACATAATACTCCATCCATTTTAATTTATAAGATATTTTTAGAGTTATCTGGATATTTTAAAATATAAAGCACTTTAATAAATAATAAAGTTTTATTAATTATATTGCTCCAACTGTACCCTTCCTTTCTTATTATATTTTTAAAAAATAAAATTATAAAATATATTTAATAAATTTTATTGAAGTGAATAATTTTATTAAAAAAAACATTCTTATAAACTGAAATGGAGGGAGTAGTAAAATTAACTCACGAATGTATGTTGAAAAGGATAAAAAAAATTGAAAACGAAAAAAAAAAAAAGGCGCTTAGGACGAGGGCGTACGTAATAATCACAGTCCGTTAAGTGAAGATGGGTATTATCATTCATCATACGGGCCTTCAAGACCAAAATCCAGACCGTTCCTCACTTTTCCTTCTAAACAATGTTTTCGGAACCGAATTGAACGTTAAATCAAAAAAATCAGTGATTTACAGTTTGTATGGTTCAATCAATTGAATCAATGGTCCAACCAATAACGTAATAATTAAATTAAAAAAAATTAAATATTTTAAGTATAAGAAATATGTATATAATAATTTCATATGTATATAATAATTTAAATATAAGAAATACATATAAAATTGCTATTTAATTTAAAAAAATTAAATATTTTAAGTTTATCATGACTTAACAAGTCAAATAATATAATATAATATCAAATGATTAAAAAAATTAGTCATTTTTTTTAAATTTGATAAAAAATAAAAAAGTTTTTTTTGAACAGTTCGGTTTTTGAAAACCGGATCCGATTTTCGATCCGACTGCCGGTTCAAAACGGCTCAAACTGACTCAACTCTTAAAATAATTTTTTTTAAAACCAAATTAAAACTAGACTGATCAACGGTTCGATCGGCCGGTCCGGTCTGGTTTAATTTTCAAAACAGTGCTTCTAAATCTTTTTGAATCTTATAACCAACTTCTTTTGAAGCTCCCAGCCCACAGTTCACTTGATCAACTTCCATTTGATCTTCACAAGAGTTTCAAAATTTTCCATTGACGAGGTAGCGCTGCCGCATCAACCAGACACCAAGGGACAAATTTCCCTCCATTCTCCATCTACACGCGGGAAGCCCCGACAACGGTATTCTCTCCTCTTCCCTTACCTTTCTCTGTTTAATCTTCCCTTCCAAACTTTCAAAATACTTGTCATTTGCCCTTCATTTCCTGTATCCGAATCCTGAATCGGATTTCCCTCCATTATTTATGCAGGAGCGCCGGCATCAGATTCATCCCTTCTCTACAAATCGGCAAAGTAGTCATTGCCGGTCACCGGGGCCTAGTCGGCTCAGCCATCGTCCGGAAACTCACCCAACTCGGCTTCACTGATATGCTCCTACGCACTCATGCCGAGCTCGACCTCACTCGCCAATCCGACGTCGAATCCTTCTTTGCTTCCGAGAGGCCTCAATTCGTCATTGTCTCCGCGGGCAGCGACCATAGTGGGCGGCATCCACGCCAACAACACCTACCTGCTGATTTCATATCCATCAACCTCCAAATCCAGACTAACATAATCGATTCCACCTATCGAAATGACACTAAGCAGCTCTTACTTCTAGGATCTTCTTGCATTTCCCCAAATTCGCACCACAACCCATCCCTGAAAATGCTTTGCTAACTGGCCCCTTAGAGCCCATGAACGAATGGTATGCCATTGCGAAGATTGCTGGGATCAAAATGTGCCAGCCTTACAGGATTCAGCATACCTGGGATGCGATTTCCGGGGTGCCTACGAACTATATGGACCCAACGATTACTTTCATCCTGAAAATTTGCATGTTTTACCCGCTTTGATGGGAAGGTTTCATGAGGCAACGGTGAATGGTGCAAAGGTGATGCGGTGTGGGGAACCTAAGTCCATTGTGGGAGTTCTTGCACCTAGACGATCTGGCCAATGCGGTTGTGATCTTGATGGAGAAGTACAATAGATTGGAGCGTGTGAACGTAGGGAGTGGCAAGGAGGTGTCCATTAAGGAGCTGGCTCAATTGATGAAGGAAGTTGTGGAACTCGAGGGGGATATTGTTTGGGGTACTAAGAAGCCTGATGGGAATCCAAGGAATCTTATGGATACTTCCGAACTTGCAGGGCTGGGTTGGTCACCCATTTCGCTCAAGGACGGACTTGTTGATACCTACAAATGGTTCTTGGATAACGTCAAGCTATAATAAATCCGGTCTAGAGTGTGCCATGCATGTAAAAATTTATAGGTAGTTTGACGTCAGCATAAAGATCTGTTTTTAATTTTTATAGAAAGGTGTGATCACTGATCCTGTGTCCATTACGTGGAATGATTATCGTAAAGCCGTGTTGTTTATCTATAGAGGTCACGCAAGGATCAGATGAGCCTGTGCTAAATGCTACGGACGGAGACTTGTTATTTTGTAGAAGAGATTTTCTGTTAGGACTGCAAACACACGCTTCATTAGTTATCTGTTTCCGCTTGTTTATCTCTATCAGCAGTTTTCTTCATCCCATCTTCTTTAGATTCTGACATGATAATAGTTACAAAACTGTTATAATTCTTTCCTAGTTTCCAGTTAGAAAAAGTTTCATTCTATCTATTTGGTGTCCACTACTTTCTTTAGTATTCTTTTACTGTAATTTTAGATTGCGTCTTTGTTATATCTGAGATTCGCTTACTAAATTTGGGTCGTTAATAATTTTTATCCTTTTATTTTTTCGGGGTGAAATTCTCCTTTCATTTTTAATCTATAATTTCTTGGGTATAGAGAATGGGTCATAAACTCATAATCATAACCAATGCATAATGATAAAATGGCACAATTAGCACGCTTCCCTTGAGTGCTTCTTACTTAATAGTTTCTGTATACTTGATGTCTTGCGATTACCTCTTCTGTTGATTGAGTTGGATGCCTTGTGGATGAGAATATGCAACCGTGTGACAGAATTGATATCTAGTCAAGACCAACAATATGCTATTAGATTGTTTCTTTGACTCCTTTCAGCTAGCAAATTCTCTAAGCTATTTCAAGCGTTGCAATGGTTTTACCGGTAGTTATGCTTCTCAAGTTGGAACTTTTGATTTTAAAACTGAAGCTGCTCGATCAACAGTCAATCTGGAGATCTGAGATATTAGGGTGGAGGAGTCAATAGATATCTGGAGTTTGAACTGTGATATGGAGAGGAAATCTTTTTTGTGTCTCTGTTGCATACCAAGGAATTCTTGAGAATCGTCCTGCCTCAGGTGGTTTAATCGGTGAAGGGTCAGAGGGGGAAATCTGTCAGTGACTTCATGGAGAACGTAGTTGAAGAAATTGGAATCATTTTGTCCAACAGAAGAGTAATCTTTGTTAGTATCCTAAAACAAATGAAGGAGAACTTCTTTTTCTTCCTTTCTTTCTTCTTCTTATTATTTTTTTGGTCCCGCAACCAGTACAGTATATGGTATGAGGGCATTCTCCATCAACTTGTCAAGGCTATACAGTGCTCTATACTGATAAAGCATGTTGTACCGAGTGCCCTCTGAATTTCTGCTGCATCTTAATTATCCAACTGTACAGTCAGTTCATACTTGAACCATTATTGTCCATTCCTTTGCAAATTTAATCAAGAAAATTTAGAAAAGTAGGTTGGGTTTTGTCATTTTTATGGTCGATAGTAAAGTGCTGTCATTAATGCTTTTGGGTGGTGTTTAGATTTTTTTTTTCTTTTTATTTTTGACCTGAAAAGTACCATCTTGTTTACTTGGGGTGGGGACCATACTATTTCGTGCTAAAATGCTTTTCGTGGCTCAGCTTCAGGCTATTAACTATGCACGCCTGTTTTTGTTACAGAATTCACTTCCTATTATCATGTTTCCCCTGGGCACAAAAAAAATGGGAGGCTCATGGTCATGGTCATGGTCCTGTCCTGTTCCCTTTTTGTTCAGTTCACTTGTTTATTAGCTGCTTTGAAATTTGGAGAGTATGCTTGTCTGCCTGAAGTTGTATTAGTTTTCTATGTTCTTATTTTATTACATTTGATTTCACCCTCATACTCTTATTCCCTTGGCATGCTTAAGTTTAAAAATTTTGGAAAACCAAAAAGCTATTCTTGAAATGCTTGCTGGTGTAGTGTTGATAGGAACGAACTGGGGTGCTATTGCTATATAACCCAGCCCACCAATACGAATTTCTTGAGGAAACAGTGCCTACATACATAATAAAACTAAAAGAGGAGTCTCATACACATGATACATCAGAAGATGCATTTCACTTCTCACTTATTTATTTGTAGGTGCCTACTAAGTACTGTCTATTTAAAAATATCCCCACAACTGGGGTGAAAAGAATCTCTTGCAGAATGTTCGGTGATTCCCTAGCAACTTGTGCTAGCATACAGATATCACCTTGAACCTCCCAGAAAGCGAACTTTGGTGCTCCTAGAAAACTTGCTGCGGTAAGTAGAATAAGCACATACCTTACTAGCAATATATATTTGCCATGTAAAGTGCTCAAATTGTTTTGCTATTGTATTGCTGATTTTGAAGGTAATTTGATTAAATGGAAAAAAGTATGTGCTGATTCTAATAGTCATTGAAACTTTATATTAGCTTTATGGTTTTTCACATGTTTCTTTCTTTCTTTTGTTAGCAATATGATTTTGGAAAATCATTCGTTTTTTACTCAAAGCTAGGGGGATGTGAACATTTATTTTCGTTCCACTTGGGACAAAAAGATAAAGAGAAGCAGGAAGCGAGCTAAATATGGAGACAAGGTATGTCTATAATCTTTTGCATTTATAATAATTGATGTGACCCTACCCACTTGTTTCGTTGGGAGAAAAAAAGCTCTTATTGTTATTCTTATATTCTCTAATAGACTAAGAGTCATATATGAGATCCCTAGTATCTGTCGCCATTGGACTACATTGGTGAATAGAAAAATACAAAGTAAATAACCAAGCTCCAAATAGAAGAGACACGACAATATGAAAGATTGACTATAAAACTCAAGAATTATCGGTTTTATGTTGCTTAGAAGGATAGAAGTAATATAGATATAATTATACAGTCAGTATTTCAATTCTGACTCTGATATTGACCAATTCTGTGAAGTAGTGTCACGGGATGGTTGAGTAAAACAAGTTTAACAAAATCAAAAGGAAATTATGCTGTCTAAACAAAGCTCTAATAAAGCCAATCCTAGGAAAAGATCATATCCTCCTTTTTTTCCCCCCTGCTTTTTCTTCATTCTTCTTGGATGGGGCTCTGCGCTTCCATGCTTTCACATGCATGCTAAAAGTAGAAGAAAGAAAAGGAAAAAGTTGCAAAGCATACTTGATTGGACACTTCCATGTTCTAAGAGATCATTCGTCACTTACACCCAAACATCCCTTGTCTTTCTTCCTGTTTTTCTTGTTCATACTTTTTCCACACGAGAAAGAAAGAAAGCAAAATTTAATGATCGTACCCAACACAAGGTCCTATGGGCCGCATGATTCTTCAATAATCTTAAACCACAATTTTAAAGCAAGAAAAACTGCAACTTGAACAATGAACAGAACAACCCCAACAGTAAATTCTGATTAAATAATAGTTCTTCAAAGTTCAAAGTACCTTGCTACACGTAGAAGATGACGGGTCCTTTTTTGGATTTTGAAGTTGAGACATTTTTGTTAGTATACTATCATGGATCTCCACGTTTCCCAAGAAGGAGGAAAATTAAAAAAAAAACTAATAAAGTTTTGTTGTAAAAGAGACAGAAGCAGAGGACTGACATTAAATTTGAAACGGTAATAAAACAGTATTCGGATGTTGAAGGCTCTGTACCTTAGGGGACCCCCAAGAAATTTAAAGCACCACTGACCAAATTTCCTACAGGATTAGTTGCATCCCATTTACTGCAAAATGTAGAAACCCAAGGGATCAATTCAAGAAACGTCTCTTTTCTCCTCTCATGCTTCCCCAGGAAAATGGCCTTCATTTCAAGGATTTGTCAAGATCAGAGAGGAAATCAAACCTGTGGTAGAGCAACATTTGATTTGAATATCCACCAAAGAGGATAAGAAAAGGAAAAAAAAATACAAATTTATATAGAAATTATATCACTAAGCTACTAGATTGAGCCTTCAAGCCAATATCACCAGCATCAGCACCATATCAACAGGCGAAGCAGAAGAAGAACAGAGGCGCGAGCAAGCACTGGACTTGAGAAACAGGGTAGTTTCTACTGCAAATAGCCCACTCTGTTCTTGGGCTGAGCAGAACCTTTTCCTCCTTTTCAAGCATTCTCACGAGAAAGGAGACGAGCAGTTCTTGTTCGACCCCATAAGCTGCAGCAGCCATGGCCCTCACCATATTCCACTTTCTTTATTGCCTCTGCTTCAGCTGCCACCACCACAAGAAGAAAAAGCAAAGATGGGATTCTTAGAAGATCTCAGAAGGAAAACTAGATAGATAGATAGTGCTAGTGGGGCGAGGATGGGGTGGGTGTATATTGGTCAAAGTGAACATGAATAATGCTCAAAATAAAAAAAAGCAGAGTGGAAGAAAAGAAAAGCTGTACAATTTTCTCTCTCTACTTTTTGGAACCGCCCTGCGATGATGGGGCTCTTCTTGTCCTATCATCAGTAAACAAGAAATTTGCAGTTTTTTTTTTTTTTTTGGGGGGGGGGGGGGGGGGAGGGAAAAGGGTTATAAGACGTCAAGCTTTGGGTTGGTCCTGGTGCACTGAGATTGTGTCTGTGTGTCCCAAACATATAATGTGGGCTGAGTTGAAGAGAGAGAGAGAGAGAGAGAAGTGAGGAGGGAATGAATGGTTGGTGTAGGTGTGAGGAGAGGGAGGTGGGTGGGTGGGACTGTGTCTGTGTGTGTACGGTTGGGGCATGGGGAGAGGGGTTCTGATGTTCCTCAGTGAGTGGCGCTCTCTCTCTCTCTCCCTCACACAACTCTCAAATCTATTTTGCTCCTTTTATTGCTTCCCCACTGATGCCCAGCTTAGCTAGATTTGCGCAACCAACCTCCCTCTTCTCTTTTTTCTTCCTTTCCTAACCTTCATCAATCACTTTAATACCACCACTGCCCTTCTCAAAAGCTTCACTTTTCTTTCCTTGGCTTGGTTTCTATCTACTAAATTACTGGTAACTTTCTCTCAGCTACTTCTCTGCTAATGCAGTTATGCAAATTTGAATGATATTGTGTTAATCTATACTTTTAAAAAGTTATTAAACTCAAGCCATCAAATTCAATCCAACTATCTATAATAGAGAATGGCCTCTTTATTAATGTTCTATTTGTTAGTATGGATCCCACTTCTTCAAAGAATTATGTTCCATCAAAATTGATGGAACTTATTCCCACTTTCATACTCATAGAACCCACTTATTTCTTTAATTCTTTCACAAAAAATTACTCATTTTTATGTACATATCAAACATAATTTAAAAATTTTATTTTCACTTCACTTTCTTTTCCTCTTTCATCTCATCTTCTATTTTTATCAAAAACTCTTTCATGTTGCACGGCGGCGTAACATACTAGAAAATAATTTTTTTTTCCCCATACCATGGAAACTTGTTTTAATTTTCTTTTAATAGAAATGATAGTTAGGGGAGGCACCCAACAAAATTTATTGGTTAGGGTTCATAACACTGAGTTGGTGGTTCTAATACCACCCATAGAACTTGTTAAGATTGTCCTCAGATGGTAGGAGATCTCTCAAAACGAAGAGTCGTTCACCAATACAAAACATTGAGATAATATTAGGGGGAATTGAAGCCATACCCATAGATAAGACTTGTGTTTTTTCTCATAACCTTGTTAGATACTTTGTGTCAACCATGTTCTAGGATTTGATGCAAGGATTGGCGTGCTTTAGATTTTTCGCTTCATCTAATATGTGCCTGTGCTTGAGAAATTATCACAAGAATTTGTGCTTGGTATATATCAAGCTGTTTCTAAATAATTTATATTCCACTTGCAGAAAGACTTGTCTTAAATTGTTAAATATCAATGAGCACATACATGATATAAGATTAGTCCATCAAATTTTCGAACTTATTTATAAGTTGACATATTAATTTATAATTATAGGTATTTTATATATTGTGATTTTTTAAAAATAAATAAATATATATATATATTTATTTATTTATTTAATTCATTAGGCTTGTATATCTCATTCATGTACAATTTTAGACAAATTTATACAAACCAAGCCAAAACAATCATTTGACAAAATTAAAACAAGTTTCAGGTGAATTACAGAATTACACAGATATTCAATAGGGTATTGCAGATAATATGTTTTTTTTTTCACAATTTTAAATAACATATAGACATGTACACATGGATAATCATGGCTTGATAATACTTTCACAGCTCATTTTATTTTGAAAACCTATAACTTCTCTTATTCACTTGAGTTTAAGTTAATTCAAACATTGGTGGAAATAGGTTTCGAAGCCCTGCTGATGACCTAGCCTTATTGAGTCATGACTTGGCATGCTCTATTTAGGTAAAAAGAGTTAAGTTCAGGCCTACAACCAAGCATGTTTAAGTCAATTCACTTTAAAAAAAAAAAAAAAAATTGGCCGATAAGCCTACCAACTGTAGCTATTTATAAGTTTATATTATATAGTATGTATAGATACACACACACACATATATATATTAAGTGATATATAAATTGATATAAATAAAAATATAATTAATGTGAATTATATTAATTTATTTTAAAATTTTATATTTATAATTTGAAAATTAAACTAACAAGGGAAAACTTCACTTTATGTTTTATATATTACTTTACTTTATCATTCCCTTCCTTGTATAAATACAGGTAAATCTTTGTGTGTGTGTGTTATTTATACATATACTTTTAGTATATTTATATATAGATCAGGCATGTTTAGTTAAAGTCTAGACTAATTTGATCTATTATCACAATTAAGCATTAACTAAGCTTCTTGTCAATACGAGAATATAGTTTCTCCCTTAAAAATTATAAGGTATTTTTTAAAGAGTTAGATGCTCAAAAATATAAGGTATTTTTACTTTTTCAAAGTGTAATCATTGCTTTTTTTTAAAATACCCCTATTAATAATAACTTTATATTTATTATAGGATGTTTAACAAGAATAAATATGAAAAGATAGGATTAGTTAAAAAGTAGGTGACTACTTTATTAAGGGGTGATATTTGATTAAAAATATCTTATATTTTTTAATAGAGAGAGTATTTATCATGGTTTAAAAGAAAATTAACATGTTTTTTAAAAGTAATTAAGGATGAGAAAATTATAGTCATTCCACCAAAACTTGAACAATGATATTGCAACAAATTTGAGTTGAAATATTAGATATTAACTAATGTGAATAGAAATAATTAAAAGCTAAAATATAAAATATTAATGAGCCAAGACAGAATTGGTTATTAAGATCGTCCTCATGGTTTATTTTTATTTTTATTTTTTTGGGTGTGTGGATAGAGTCGTCCCCATGTTACCTAACCAATTGGAACTTTGTTAATCCAACCAAATTCACGTCGGGCCTACCTAGGCATGCCTACTCATTCCTACGTATACCAAACATAAAACATGGACAACTAGGAAAATTCACGTGGAACAGTAAATTTAATTATAAGATCAAAATAAAAAATTAATATCCTCATAATTTCTCTCAATTTAAATTAATTTTTTATAATTTATTTTGTTTTAATCCAATTTTTATAGTTTTATTATTTAGATTTGTTAATTATTAAAGGTTAAATTCTTTGATTTTTTTTAAATAAAATTAATAATTTTATATGTTTATTATAAGATTATATAACTTTTGAAATAATTACATAATTATTATAACTCAAAATTTATATGTTTTTTTATTATGTTTCCTAAATAGCTTTTATACATATAGAATTTTTACTAAAAAATAATAAAAATAAAAATATTGTATTTAATCAATTTTTTTGCCAAGAGTATTAAATCAATTTTTTTTATCAATTTCAAAAGTATTTTTATTTGGACAAAGTTAATCAATGATTTTAAATTTTAACAATTAACATATTTAATGAATCAAACTACAAGGGCTTAATTTAAAATTGAGAAAAACTATACAGACATGTATATTAATTTTTTTAATTCAAAATAAATAATGTTTAGTGTGGAACAGCTAAAATAGTTTAGCAAGAACAAAGGTGGGCTATAATGTGTGGAAATGGCTTTATATCTATCAAGTTTATCAAGAACTCTTTGTCCAAAATAAAAAAGTTTATCAAGAATTCATATCTTGTAAATGAAAAAATATTTGAAATATTATCCTTTACTCCCTCTGGTCTCATTTGTAAGTCTCATTTTAGAAGGTTCATTTGATCCCATTTATAAGTCATGGTGCGTCTTTTTAGATAATATTTGAGAGGTATTTTTAAAATTACCCTTCATAAGAGAGAAAAAGTAACATGACATTATTTTTTAGATTTGTTATATAGAGACATGTTTGGAATTTTACTTACTTTTATTCCTTATACTTTTATTGTATTGGTATTGATGAGGTTGGTAGAAATAACTTATAAATAGAACCGGAGGGAGTATTTATTTAAATTTGACCATTTGTATATAGGTTAGATATTAAGTCATTTGTCATCAGAGTTTTAATAATTAAAAAAACATTTTTTGTCATTATTAAAAACATAATAATAACAAAGAACGTATTGGTGAAGAAGAGAATTTGCATCAAACATATACTCCCTCCAATCTCATTTGCAAGGCACATTTTAAAAGATTTATTTCATCTTATTTATAAATTATAGTATAATTTTTTAGATAATATTTAAAAAATATTTTTAAAATTATTATTTATAAGAGAGAGAAAATAATATGACATTACTTTTTAAATTTATGATATGAAAATATATTTAAAATTTTATATATTTTTATTTTTTATATTTTTTATATTGATATTGATGAGATTAATAGATATAATTTATAAAGAGAACCGAATTATCTTAATACAAGAAAGCATGCCATTCTCGTTTAAACAATAAAAAGTATAGGGACCAAACAGGGCATAACATTATAGGTCCTGGGATGTACCTCTTCGCGTCTTTCATGTAGTCAACTTCAAGTATCACCCCTTAGAGCTGTCAATTAGGGCCAGCCCGGCCCTAAAGGGCCGGCCCTTGAAGGGTCAGGGCCTAAACGGGCTGGTCCTAATAAGCCCGATTACATGTCAGGGTTTCATTTTTTAAGGCCCGGCCCTAGCCTTCAGGGCTAAAGGGCCGGCCCTCAGGGCCTCGGCCCTATTTTTTTAAAATTATTTTTTCAATTAAAAATTATAAAATATATATTTATAATTATAAAAAAAGTTATTATTCATAAAATTAAGTTTAAGAAAATAAATTTAAATTAATTTACACCACAACAATAAAGAAAACTAAAATATTTAGGTCTAATATCAAATAGCAACATCAAAGTGAATACCAATAAAAATTAAACTTAACTAATATTATCATAATAAATAAATAAGGGATGAATGAATGTATTTAATATGTTCATTTCTTTGAATTATGTATTTAATCTTTTATTTTTTTATATTATAATTTAAAAAAAATTATAAACATGCCTAAAAGGGCCGGCCCTGGCCCTAAAGGGCCGGCCCTTTTATTTTCGGGCCTAAAAGGGCCAGCCCTTTTAGGCCCGATTTACATTTTTAAAGATAAAATGGAAGCCTGGTCCTCAATTTTTTCGAGCCTAAAAGGGCCGGCCCTACGAGCTCGGCCCTAATTGACGGCTCTATCACCCCTCACGCCCCCTATTTCTGGCCATACAAATTCATGCACTTCTAGTTCCACATACATACATGCATATTCTCATATGCTGCTTTGGCTCTTTTGTAACTTATTTATGCCAATTTTATCAATATTAATATAAAAAATATAAAAAAATAAAAGTATATAAAATTTTAAATATGTATAATAAATTTAAAAAGTAATATCATATTATTTTTCTCTATTATAAAGGGTAATTTAGAAAATACATTTTAAATATTACTTAAAAAAATGCATTTTAACTTATAAATGAGATTAAATAAACCTTTTAAAATGTAACTTATAAATGAGATCAAAGTAATATATAAAGTCATTTTTACTGATTATTAATATTAATATAAAAAAGTAAAAGGAATGAAATTATGTAAAATTTTAAATATATCTTTATATAATAAATTTAAAAAGTAATGTCATATTATTTTTTTCTTTTATGAAGGGTAATTTTAAAAATACATTTTAAATATTACCTAAAAAATCACACCATAACTTATAAATAAAATTAAATGCACTTTTTAGAATATGCTTTATGAATACAATTAGAGGGAGTATATCTGAAGTGATCATAAAACTAAAGAAAATAAATAATTAAAAAATAATAATTTTTATTCAAATATTCAAAATTTTTGTTACTTAGAGGTATCTAAAATTGGCTTTGAAGCCTATTTGGTAGCCTCCTTCCCTAAGATTATGAAGCCATAATCTGAAAAAATCTGTTTATGAGTTATTTAAGTTAATTAACCTATTAAAATCTGTTTATTATGATTTGATTGGATATAAATCTATCAAATATATAGAACTAAATACCTAAATCTTATCCAAGGTGTTTTCGTTTCTAAGCATATGCCCGCTCCTCTCTATTGTTGTTCTGAAATCAAAACCTTCTTCTGGAACATTTTCGAATAATATACTAAACCAAATCATACATATACTATATTATTATTATTAAATTCTTTATTGCTTCCCATATCTGAAAAAAGTGTCTTTTTTCCTAAGTATGTAGCTGAGATTTACAATCAAGACCTTTTTCATCTTTCTTTTTCTTTTGTCGGGTATCACAAGAAAATCATCCCAATGTCCAAGCACGAAGAATATATTCTCCCTCCAATAACAAATACAGGACAGTTTTAATTAAATTTTGCTCTAATAAAGTTCAAACTAATTTTATCTTTTTATATTTATTTATTTAATAGAGTGTTTCACTTTAAAATAAATATAAAGTAATTTACTACCTCCGTTTAAAAATGTAAATTATTTTTTGAGAAAATATATGTTAAAAAATTTAAGATATTTTTTGTCTTTCAAGGTGTAAACATTATATTTTAAAAAAATATCCCTATTGATATTGACTTTATATTTATTGTAGAGTGTTTAATATGAATAAATATGAAAATATAAAGTTAGTTTGAAATTAAGTAATTACTTTATTAGGAAGTGAGATTTAGTTAAAAATATTTTATATTTTTTGAATGGAAGGAGTGTTTAATACGAGCACTTTTTTTTTAAAAATAATGATTATACCTTAAAAAATAAAAATAATTTTTTTTTTCTATTTTTAAATAAAAAAAGTATTTTATATTCATTAAGTGACACCTATCCTGCATATCTAACATTTCAAGTTTTATTTAGTTTTATGTGCAACTAGCTAGATTTATTCTGGCCCAAACGAAAAGGCTAGATATATTTCCATTATTTTGTACCGGATATATAATAATTATAGTACAATTTTCATTTAACAAAAGTTTGTTGAAATGTATAAAAATTTGAAAGAATAAAGGAAGTTTGTATGTAGTCCAATAAAATGTGCGGAGAAAACATTAAAATAAAGTTACACTATTTGTAAAGTATGAAAAGTGTGATTTTATAAAAATTTTACACTTATATTGATAATTATTAATACGCAATTTTTAATTAGCATTAGTAATATATATAATATTATATATATATATTAGTCATGTTGTATGATTGAAAGTAGTTCTTGTTACATAATAATAGCAACAATAATAACAAATGCAGTTGATTGTAATTTTTTTCTCCCCCTTGACCACCAGAAAACTGTTCTTTTGTCATAGCAATAAAAAACATATGGGCTTGCATAGACAGATGTGATAATTTAGATTAGCCCAAATAAAATAAAATAAAAAAGAGGAAAAATTAATTTTTTAATCACTTAACTTTTACCTTATTTGTAATTCAATTCCTCAATTTTGACTCAGACTCAATCATTTAACTTTTGACTCCCTTATTACATGGTCTTTATTTTTTAATTTTCTTAAAAAATTATTCTTATCAAATAAGAGAAATAAAAGAAATGCTCATATTTTATTTTAAAATACCCTCATCTTACTCTTTGATGTGAGATTTAAATTAACATGAAAAGAGAGAGCTAACAAAAGTTGAGGCACTGAATTATAAGTAAGTCAAAAATTAATGGACTGAATTATAGTGAGTCAATAGTTAAAAAATTGGATCTCAACGAGTCATAATTGCAAGATTAAATTATAAGTAAATTAAAAATTAAAAGATTAAAAAAATTAATTTTTTCATAAAAATATTGTATGATTAGTTTGAATAAGTTCAAAAAATTCAGGCTAGTCTAAATAAACTTATCTTGTCTAAATTACCTACTTTACTTGCACATATATTGGCTGAGGGGAAAATATTACTTTCCCATAGATGTGTAGGAATTTCTTCACTTCGATTATGATATGGTCATCAAGAGTTTACATGTGAAGTTGATTAGCGAGAGAGAGAGATCTGGGTTGTGAGAGAGGCTGTGATGACATAAGATAGAGAGAACAGCAAAGAGACAGAATGTCTGAGAAAAAAGCTCAGACAGTCAGAGAAAGATGATGCGATTTTTTCTCAGAGATGAGAGAGAGAAAGGTACCTGAAGAGAAAGTAGGCCAGCTCTGCCATCTATCATCTCCTTTTCATTTGCACGAATCTCTCATCTCTTCATCCGACGGCTCTGATTCATTCTTCTTCTTCAACTTCCTCTTTTCTTTTCTTGTCTCATCATCCGCAAATCAAAGCACCTGCATCAACGAACACCGCTTGGAACTGCCTTATTCAATTAAACACTCAGATCTTTCACCCAAATATATATATATATATATATGTATGATGCTCGTGATCAAATATAATGAAGAAACTCTAAAACACTGAATCACCTCAAGCTTGGCTGTGGCTGAAAATGTTTCTGCTATTGTTCAAATGAAGAAAAAGGGCTTCTTTCTTGTTCTCAGCAATTTGCATATATATATATATATATATATATCAGTTCGTCTTAGGGTTCTGCAAATTTACAGAGAGAGAGAGAGAGAGAGAGAGATGGCGCATAGCTTTCTTGTTTTCTATGAAAAACACTAAGAACTGAGAGAGAGAGAGAGAGAGAGAGCAAAAACTAGAATAGCAGTTCAGTACAGACAGGAACAAACAACATCACACACACGCGCAAACACAAAAACAACCTTGCTAATTCAGAATCAGAAGGCCGACTCAGCATTAACAATGAGACCTTAACATGGATCCGCAAGTTGTGTTTCTTTCATATAGGTGAGAAGTGATCGAGAACAATGAAGGGTCTTCTGGATGATTCAAAGCTTTAAAATGAAGCGCAATTCATGGTTATATATAATGCAAAGTGTTAGCCAGATGTCAAGGAGCTTTTTAAGGCATTACTTTAATTTTTTTTTTAAATTACAAGGAATAAATTCCATTAATAACACATTATTTCTGTTGAGATACTATGAAAAAGAATTCAAAGCCTCTCCATTTCTTTATCATTTTTTTTCTTCTACTATCGTAAACGTAACCATTTATCAAATTTAAATCTAAAGCATATTCACTTAATGCAGTGATATTAATAGTTATAATTAGAAAAATTAAGGGAAAATGATAATAATAAAATGTAAAATTTCTGCATCCATAAGAAAAAGGGTAGAACCCTCCCAATTAAGAGTATTATTATTATTATTTTGAAAGTATAGAGAATAGCTAAGAGTAAAGATTTATCTTTCCTTGGATATTGATAGGAAAGGGTAAAATTTATAATATAAAAATATGAGCCAACTCACTCAATTGAATCGGTAAAATATTAACTCACTATCTTAACTAATTTAATAAGATGCTTCATTTACGATCAATTTAATTATGATTCAATTATAGTTTTAATTATTAATTTAATATCTCAATCAATTTAATGACCTCTTTAATTTTTAATACCTTGATAAAACCCTTTCAACTAGGGGAAGTACTATTATTTTATTTCCTTGGATTAAGATGTTATAATTACGATAGACCAGTTGTTTTTTATGCATGATGCTAAAATGGGAACGAAAAAGCAAAAGTAGATGTTTTTCCTTACAGTCGCATTCTAATTTCCCCCTTGCTGAAAATCTCATGTGAAAGTTGTTGTCTCTCATTTTCTTACTTAATGCAGAAATGGGTCTCCAACCTTTTTCTTTTGGGCATAAAGTATCATAAACAAATCTTAAAGCACACTTTAATTAAGAGAAAACTACGTTTTCAACTTTCATGATTCATCCTTCCTTTTTAGTGGTCATCAATCAATTGCCATTGAATAATGTTTTTCAACTAATTGCATTTGGAGAAATTGCTCATAGGGACCAAATGACAAACATAATTGTTACTCAAGACTTCAAATTTGCATGATTTATAAAAAGGACCAAGATTCTTATCAGCAATTAATTTGAATTTTGTAAAATGACCAAAACATCCTCATGATTAACCAAAATGTTTCTTATAAGCAGTGGTATTGCATGCTCCCTTCTTTAAAAAAAATATAAAGCATTTTTAATCAAATCACATTTAGTTAATTATCTTTAAAATTACATTCTTTTTATATTTATTCTTACTTAATAAAGTATTTTCATTAAAAAATCTTATTAATTATATGCCTAATTAAAGGTATTTTTTAAAAATATTATTAATTTTTAAAAGATCTAAAATGCCTTGCATCTTTTTAATAGAGTGAGTAATGTACAAGAGGTTTGGCTTAGATTCCAAGCTATCTTTCATTATTTGTTCTATAGGGTTAAATGACAAATTGGCCTCTAAACTATGAGTATAAGAATTTTTGGGATCTTCAACTTATTTTTGAGGTAATATTATCCTTTAAGATTTTAAAATGGTGCAATATACTTCCAAGTTAACAAATGTTAACTTCGATCATTGGCTAACAAAAAAATTATACAAAAGGACTAATAAAATTTTCTTAATCAACTAAAGGTTAAAGTTATCTTTTATTAATGGTAAAGGTAGCATTATACTATGTTCAAAAGTTGAAGGTACACATTGCATTAAAAATGAGCTTACAAGTTGAGATGCTACTGAATGTATAGTTTTAAGGTTAATTTATTATTTAACCCTTCTTATAAAATAATCAATATATAAATAAGTGAATAAAAGCTACAAAGATAAAGTCACTAATGATAAAGTATCAAAAAAGATTTAGAATGGACGTTGAGATTTTTTTCATGGAAAGCGACACCGTTGAAATTATTGAGAAGTGAAATAAAGTCTCTAGAACAAATCATTCTGAGAGGAAGAATCCATTACGTGAGCAAAGAAATTCTTCCTAAAATATAAGATTTCCAAAAACATACTTAAGACCTCATACTTTGAGAATCATTCATAAGTTGGATCATGAAATCAATTTATAAAGGGAGAATTACTTTAAAATCTTACTTAAGACAAGTAATTATTCTCATGTTCATTGATAACTGAATTTAAAAAAATGATAATATATGAGAGCAATTAATTATGTTGAGTGAGATTTTCTATGTAATTCTCCCATCTATAAAAAGGTATTAGTTTATGAGAGATCTTTCTTCATAACTGATCTTCTATAATTTACAAAAAACTTTGATGCAAAATTTAGAAACATTTGGATCCTAAAAAATTATAGAGGTATAACATATAATTGGGTTAATATGTAATTTGGACTATAAACTATAAATTCAAGAGTGATTTGAACCCTATATTTATAATTAATATATTTTAAACTCTAAACAATTAAATTGGGAGCATACTTACGCCCACTGCTAATTTGGTCCTAATGTCTTTTAATAAAGTTTTTAGTTAAATAGTAGTTGAAACCCTAAACTAAAGTCAGTAATTTGAGCTAAGTCTGATAGGTCATCCCGAAGCCTCTTGAAAAAATGTTGGGGTTGGCCTTTGCTATTGACACTATTGTCGAATAGTATTAAAATTAATAAAAACTAGATTTTACAGTAAAACACAATCTAGGTCATCTCCCTAAGAGTTAATAGATTAACTATGTAAATTAGCATTATGAAAAGTTAAATAGTGGAGGGATTTTTTATGACAAATTAATTTAAAAAATAAATTAAAATTAAATAAATAAATAAAAACAAGCAGTGCAATCAATTACAAGCTAATCACCTAAACTTAATCTTTTTTGTCTACAAAATAAATTAATTTTATTTAACTTTATTATTCTGATCTTATTACATATTTTTTAAATTATCATTCAAGAATTAAATAAGAAAATAAATTATAAATTAATTAAATTCTTCTTTAATTCATAACTTAACAACTATTTTATGTTAGTTTATGAGAGGTCTTTCTTCATAACTGATCTTCTATAATTTACAAAAAACTTTGATGCAAAATTTAGAAACATTTGGATCCTAAAAAATTATAGAGGTATAACATATAATTGGGTTAATATGCAATTTGGACTATAAACTATAAATTCAAGAGTGATTTGAACCTATATTTATAATTGATATATTTTAAACTCTAAACAATTAAATTGAGAGCATACTTACGCCCACTGTTAATTTGGTCCTAATGTCTTTTAATAAAGTTTTTGGTTAAATAGTAGTTGAAACACTAAACTAAAGTCACTAATTCGAGCTAAGTCTGACGAGTCAACCCGAAGCCTGTTGAAAAAAAGTTGGGGTTGGCCTTCACTATTGACACTATTGTTGAATAGTATTAAAATTAATAAAAACTAAATTTTGCGGTGAAACACAACCTAGGTTATCTCCCTAAGAGTTAATAGATTAACTATTTAAATTAGCATTATAAAAAGTTAAATAGTGGAGGGATTTTTTATGATGAAATTAATTTAAAAAATAAATTAAAATTAAATAAATAAAGAAAAACAAGCAGCGCAATCAATTACAAGCCAATCACCTAAATTTAATCTTTTTTGTCTACAAAATAAATTAATTTTATTTAACTTTATTATTCTGATCTGATTACATATTTTTCAAATTATCATTCAAGAATTAAATAAGAAAGTAAGTTATAAATTAATTAAATTTTTCTTTAATTCATAACTTAACAATTGTTTTATGTTAGTCACATCAACAATGAGTAACCACTCAAGCCGAACCAAATTATTCTTTTATTATTATATCAATCAACTATAGCAAGTAAAAACTCAAATAAAATTTATAGTTTAAAAATTATTTAATAATGTTATTCTAATCAATAATAACAACTAAATCATGAAATTTACAGGTAGAAAAAAAGTTAAAAAAATTAAAATAAAATTTTTTTGAATATCAAAAGTTTTAATTAAAATTTAAGATTATAATTTATAATTAATTATATTAAAAATTTAATTTTTTATATAATTAAAAATTAAACAATATAAGATGAGAATATGACAACCCATCGCCTGTATTAAAGGAAAGAAGAATGACGGTCGCTTGTGCCAGAACTCCGGTTCCTCGCCGCCTACTTTGATTCTTTTGTCAATTCTCCAGTGATGCGTTCTCTACAGCTGCGTCCTTTATATATGAAAAGTTGTGCGTCTCTCACAGAAGCAAAACCTAATAATTTAATAAAATAATAAAACTATTTTAAATATTCTTAAATAAAAATTACACTAAAAAATCTAAAAAATATATAAACAATGTTTTAAAAAATTTAATTCTTAACTTGATCTTTAAATGTATTTATATTTTTTATTTAAAATAATTTTTATAAATGTCTTTTAAATTAAATTTAGAAGATCTACGCAAATAAAATAAAATTAAATAGCAACTATACAAAAAATCAAAGATAACATCTATTATATTTTAAAACTTAAGATTTAGTCAGTTAAAATTCAAAAGTTAAAGATTGGCTAATAAAATTAAATAATATTCAATTAAACTCAATTAGCCTCAAATAAATATTTAAAGTTTAAATTAAAAGGTTAAAAATATATAAAATTGCTATTCATTAGATATATGGGCTTTTTTAAAAGGGTATGATACTTTAAATTTGATTCAAATAAATTGGCCCAAATTGAGCCCAACCTAATAAGCCCAACTGTTAGAATTTCTGGCTCTATATGTATGTAGAGTCAATAATTTTGGTCAAGCTTAATGAGCTAGCTGGAATCTAACCAAAAAATTTAGAATCAAATTTGACTATATGAGTTTTTTAAGAAGGTAGAACACTTAAGCCCAATTCAAATAGAGCATAACTTGAATAAGCCCAACCAGCTTAAATTACTGACTCTACACTAAACTATAATTCTAGGCGCTATTTGAACCTTAAACTTATTTTTGATACATTTTAAACTCTAAACAATTATAC